TGTATGAGTGTCGTATGTTACTGTGTACGGTAACTCGGGCTATTTGGGACAGTACAAACAAGTTTATGTACGGATGTAATTTGCTTTCTCGCTCGAAAAATATCTCCTATATATGTGGAAGTGGTGCCTAAAACGAGTTATACCTACATATTTAGTCAAGGTCCTAAGGTGTAATCGATGTGTAAATATGAACGCAGAATATGTTCTTTAGTTGTTATATGTTCTTATCTATATATGATGTATCTTAGTCTTTTCAACCGACTTCAAAAAAGAAGGTTCTCAGTTTGACATGCATATTAGTATGTATGTTTGTGCGCGATTATCTCGCGTTTGGCTGAACCTATTTTGATGCGGATTTCAGCATAGTATTTGTCAGAGTTAGAAGAAGGTTATAGACGCTTTTGAGATGTGTTTTATTTTTCATTCTTTTAAGTTTGAAGTTGGTTATTTTTTTTAATTTTGTATGTATCATGCTTACATATTTGAATTGTAGAGTGAAAAGATACCACAACTATAGGATTTTATTTTTCTATCATCATCGGTGTAAAAGAAAAACTTTACATGATATTTTAGTATTCAAAATATGTTTAAAATCTATTAGGTAGGTAACTATCACCTTGCTACCTGCAACTAATTATTACCTTTAATCATAAAAAGAACTGTATTTTGTCCTCATCTTTGAAAACTTGATCTTCGCACTGGTGTTATTTACCCAGGATAACCAGCTCGCATCCCTCTCATTTTAATAATTGAGAAAGTCTTTTCAATTTGTAATACCGTTTATATTTGCATGACAGCTTGAGAATATAATTATAGTAGTTGCTGATGCAACTATTTTATAAAGATGCATAGTCAATGCTATGTCATAATTGAGTTATTTCACAAAAAAATATATACAATGGTGTATATCTCGATATCTATTATATGTGATTAATTTCGAATTCCAAAGCTATACTGAAAAATATATTGCGGTTGGAGCAGTCGCCCGGACTGGTCATGGGTTCGAATCCTATCTCAGGGTGCCAGGGACCAAGTGAATTTTTCAAGCATTTTGTATCAAGAATATCTATGGTTTTAATAAGTAACTGTCTTAAACACCATGTTAATTCCAATAAAAATAAAATGACAGCTTTATTATCGATTTAAAGCTTTCCACTAGCATAGTGTGACGTCATACAACTACTAACTTCGCATTTTATATCAGGCTAGGTCGATTGATTCATGAATGATGAAAGAGCTGTTATTATTTCTTTTTTTTGTAGTATCCTACTCATATTCCATAAGACTTTATTTGGTTTACAACAATATGTATAGGTACTCAAATATTTAATATAAAGATTTCGTGTCGCAAGGACAATAGTGAAGTCGTTTGAGATTGGTGTGTGCGTAACCAAAGAGCGTGTGTTAATTGCCAAGTTTTCATTTATGTGAGTGAAATGAGTGATAACAGTATACAATGATTACCCCAAAATGTCGGTAATTTTAACATATTAATATGAATGTTAAAATTTCCTAAACATTTCGTTCGGTAATAAAAATGATATGAAAAGAATTACAGTATTTAATAGATCACTATAGGGCTCGTGCAGCTAACATTAATCAACTTTCAATTATTCTTTAGTTTTTTGTTGTAATTATCATAGTAGTTTGCGAGTAATTGAGTTAAAAGCCAATTTTGCCGCACAATTTGCTATCCTATGTCCCTGTCTGTCTTATTGTCGGGCGCAATATTAGTACCACCAATATTAATCTGTTTCAATAAATTCATTATTAGAAAAAATATAATCAGTATTGTATAACCATTGTGGTTCATACCACCATAATAGGGATGACGACTGGGTAAAAAAAAATGCAATTCTATTTAGTCCGTCAGTAAGATAATAGAAAAATATTTGATACGTATTTTTTTTACTTCAATTTAACAAGAAATAGCTTAGATAATAGGCGTTAAAGTTGAGGAGTGGGGGCTTGCTACGTCACAGTTGAGTAGAAAACGTACCCTAACGTGACGTTATGCGAAATTTCAACTCCATGTAAAGCCGTAATTTTATGATTACGAAAAAAAATAAAAACATACGTGTTTAATATTTTTTAACACTCTACCTGACGGACAAACAAACAAAAATTAGTCATCATCCCTATTCATGATCTGCCCTGCAATTCTGTAAAAATTCAAACCCGAATTTGAATTCACTCCGGTATAAAAATTCACTTCAAAAAGGCATCCGCTCAACCTTGAATTTGTAATAACGTTTCGTGGCATAAGTGAAGTGAGTTTCGAAATGACATAGGAATAGAATATCTGAGACACGTGTATTCAATCAATTTTTATATAAAAAATGGAATCTGTAGAATTTATACACTAAATGACGCGAATTCGGATACATGAGTGAATTTTAATTCGGCTCTGGATTTTTACAAAATCACGGGTTGTTTCTGGAGAACTATAATGGAATCAGTCCAACCAAATACATTGTTCTGAAGAACATTCAAAGGAGTTTTAACTTTCTCAATTAATTTGGCAGTCAAAACAGCTATATAGAGCTGTTTTAAAGTAAATGATGACGTCGCTTACATACTTTGCATGAATTATTTTGTCTACAAAATCTCACACTGTGTCTCAGTACAAGACAATTGAAACACAGATGTTTCTCTTTGACGGCATCCCTACGTTCTTTTCACAAACTCTGCAGTTATAGATATAATGATCTTTACAACAAACCGAACGAATTACTTCGACATTCGTTTTGTAGGTTCTTATTGGTGGTTGCCGATTCACTGTTTCTTTGTGTTGTGTCACAGATAAAGCCTCTAAAGATTAGTCTTATTTCTAAAAATCCAGCAGTTTTTTACTAATATCTTACTTTATATGACAAAAGAAGAATTAAAGCATTTTCCATAATATAGAATAAAGTCTTCAGTATCTTTGTATTTTGAAAAGTTTTAACAAGCTAATTCGTATAGCACTTCTAGTTATAAATCGGCAATACTGATTGGAATATTCTTGATTTTAGTTTTTGACGCCGACTGTACCAGTTTATGGAAAACCGCGTGCATTCTAGTGCTTGACCCTTTGCGGTTCGCTGACGTGGAATACTGGCATTTCTTCGACACAATATATAAGTGAATAGTATTGTGTATGTGAACAATGGCTTTAAGAATGCTTAGTTGCGTAACAAACAAGATGAAAGAAATCCTGTTATGTTGTGTTCCAGAGTTCACCAGCCTAGTACAGTTATAAACACCTTGTATGCTAAATGCATTTAAATAAAAAATGTTGTTTTGTTACTAAAGTTGTATGCTACATACAAGTACAACATCAATGAGGTTAACATATTTTTTAATATTTCATATTTTGTTCCTTAAAAGAAACTGTTCCTTCAATACTATTGGCTACTGTTGAAATAATTGGAATCTGCTTTGTTGTGCGGATGTGCAACTGTGCTATGCTATTCTTCTAAAAAACCGGTCAAGAACGAGATGGAGGGTTCCGCACCAATATATATAAAAAAAACAAGTTTGTTGTATGGGAGGCAGACCTTTCTCATAGAGCGTCGATGAAATGAAACCTTTATTACTTTTAAAGTAGGTTTTATTTGATTTAAACTTGTGACGAGTTCGGTGCTTAGGCCAATTAATGAAAGGCTGATTAGCTTGAGTATGGATTTATTAATAGTATAAAGGATAAAGTAAAGAAACAGTTCGTATGTTAAACTAAATATAAAATTTAAAATTACCAAGTAAAACGAATACATACCCCATTTTGGGTTTCTTAATAAGCAAAACTTATTAATTCATTTAACATGTTTCTTATATAGAAACTTCACTTTAAACGCATAATTTTAACTATTTTATTAATTACAATAATAACATGTTACGTACTGTTCAAAGAATTTTCACGAACTAACATCCATAAAGAGTATATTTGATTAGTCAAAATTTTTAATTACGAAAGGTAAATAATAAAAACAAATGATGTTGAATTACAAAGACAAAAAGTTTGCATGCGGAATCCTGGGACGAAATAAACGGTGGTATGGCACACCGTTACAAACTCTGTACTATGACAGGCTGCGCTCGACGACGAATTCGATGCTGTTTTCCTAACAGAATAACAATGCTGAACATCTATGTGACTATGACTATGAAAACAGGATATTGAGATGGAACTGACGAAGTACATAATTCTGCTCAATGCTCTTCATTCATTTATTATTACCTAGAAAATTATCAATATACATACAGTTTGAGCAACATTAATATATGGTTTACATAAATGAAGTCAAGGTGTGTGGTAAACTAGCAGAATGAACAAGAAGGCGCGTCTGCGCATCAGGTCAATTGATTTGCTCACATCCAATTGAACTAAACCTTTGTCCTTGTTCTCTCATTTAAAAATCGACTGACCTATTTTATCAGTAATTTAGTTAAGTAATTGCAATTTATCATTTAACACAAGGGCTTTTTAAGATTTTGTCATTGCTCCCGGTCCAGGATTTGCCACAATATGTAATACTTGTATACCTATTTATCTCTGACATTAGTTATGTTCGACACATTAGCTATTTTAGACTGCCAGGTCTTAAGCATAATAATTCGATGGTAAGCCAATCCAGAGACAATATATCGACAGATGAGTGTAACGGCTGACTATATTACTAATTCGCATTTAATATACGTACAAATAATAAAGCTTATTAATATAATGAGTCGATGTTAACCCCGCATAATTTAGCTACCCGTAGGTGAAAGAATCTTTAATAACGGTCCAATAGTTCATTCGATGCAAACAAACAATCAAATCTTTCCTCTTTATAATATAAGTTTAGATAACCTTCCAATCTTGAATATTCGACGGATAATCCCCCCCCCCCCTCCAAACATGAGTGCCCCTCGGCGGTTGCCTTAGTTTGTTTATAATAACGGGCCGGCCCTGGTTGCACCAACCCTATTCAGAGTATTCAAGATACATTAAGCAAGTTTAACGATTCTCTTTGCAGGAGTCTATGAAAACTTTCCATTTACTGCTGAATGAGACGTCACGGAGACTGCAAGCGTTGACCAAACGCCTGGGCAATTGCGTGGACAAATCACGACCGTATTACGAGGCTGTGTCGGTTGCAGCAACCGCTCGTTCAGAGTGCCAGAAGGCAGCCGTCCAGTTTCAAAGAGCTAGTGGTGAGTAGATCTATTTACATATATCTTAACAACGGATCCCAAGGGCAAAGGGAACCGGGAGCAAGTACAATGTAGGAGCTCAACACACGTCTGGCTTCTTTAACATACTTTACTCTTCAGTAGAATATCGCAAATAACAAACAACTCGGTCCTAGAAATCTTTTAATAAATGAAACACCTTTTGAGTTTGAGCAGAGCTATCAGTTTTCAGTGGCGAACTTGATATATTTTTCTCATTAGCTGTACCTCTATTACACAGCTCTTCATTTGTCAGTGAAATAGAAGAAGACTGATATATTGAAAAGTAGAAAAACCTGGCTTTAAGAGATGTTGCCAAAGTGATTTAGAGATGAATGAGCCCCGAAAACGAAGAAAGCTAAATCAGGATACATAATATCTTAACAATACCTGCACATATCTTAGTCACATTTTGCTTCTGGGCCGAATATGTTATGTAGACTGTAATAAATGTTACTCATTATATGAATCCGTTGCTAGGATAAGCAATGGTCCAAATAAAAAGCCAATTATTTACTGTATCACCGAAACATCCATTCAGCCAGTAACATTAGTTTGCATGAATAGCGTTTCCGGGAACAATCTACTTTGAATGGCTTCCTTCCTCGTCGATATATTTCTCCATTGTGTTGAAGTAAACGTTCTTTATATCTTCTATAAGGCTCCATCCATATTATAGGATGAATATATACAATGCCTAAAACATTGAACGAGTATTTCCTAGAATACGGAGTTTAGAGGAAAAATCTTCAGCTTTCGAGGAGAACATTTTGCGCAATAATGATAAATATTTGGATAAAAGATTAATAATTTCTTTTAGATAAGGAAATACTTACCGTTATTGCTTCTAAAATCTAAACGGATGAAGTCTAAATATGTAGCTTATCATGCTAGTATGGAACGCGGGATATGGTCGCTTATCGATTGGTGCTGTACTATTATCTCGGCCGACATAACGACTTCCTGTGGGGTACAGCGTTCTTGACCGACCAAGGCCGGCCGGTCACGGGCAACCGCCGATATTATTGGTAGCCAAGATTTTATTATAGCTTTCATACGATTAGAATATTGAACTATGTAAAATTTGTCACGAAAGCCCTGAAACAAATGCCAGTACCGGGTATGAAAGTGAATTATGCGCAGAAACTATAAATGTAAAAAACTACTTCAATGAAACTTAAAAACATTGCAAAATGATAAGTAAGAGAAAATTGTTTTACTTTTGCTGTTTTACTGCTATACACAGCTGGCACCGACCTCGAAAAAGATTGTTGGAGTATGCACATTTTGTGTTTAGATTTTATTTAAGATATAATTTGTGATATTAATTTTCTCTTTTCAGTCGTTTTTCTCTATTACTATTTTTATGAAGTCGGTTAATTTTTTGGGTAGATTCATATACAAAAAAAAAACTATAATCAATTACGTGGCACCAGTAGGTAGAGCTTGAAGAATATTTGAAGATCCATTTGATGACCGACCCATGCGCTTATCTGGAGACATTTTCCAGGGAGCTCATTTATCTAGTTAGAAGAGCGAAAATTCTGTCGCAGGCAAAGTCTAACCCTCATACTTTTTGTTGATCTCCTCAATGGCAGATTTGGTAATGGTTATTACTATGAATTCATTGCCTTATACGGATATTAGTCAATCCGTGCGCAAGATACAGCTGCGAATAGTCGACCCACTTTCCTTCAGACCATATAAGTTTCTGAAAATGAGATCACTATCGAAAAATACTTGTAGATACCATAAAACGGGCGTTTTCAACGTCAGAATATTATCCATGATTATATTCACTGTATCATTGAAATTATACAAACATCAATCTAGAGAAGATTTAAGTTGAAAGTGTTTTAAATTGAAATTAATTAATGACTCGTAGATACGCAAAAGAGCTGATGTAATTAAAAAGAGATGCTTCATTATAGTTGGGCTTGTTCACCTTAGTTCACTGTTTTAAATCTAAATTCTACACGCTCTCAAACCTCAAAAAAGGTTAACGCATGAAAAATGTCTCCAATGAAAGTCATCGCAATTTCATTTCTCCATTACTTGTAATTGGATCATAACATCATTCGGTTGATAGGAACCCGGATATTCCCGATTAATGGATTTTGTGATATTTTAAGAAAACCACAAGAACACACCGACACTGCCGTATACCTATTTTTATTCTCCCTGAATTGTTTTACATTTTTTATTCTAAAATTGAATAACATTAAGTTTTAAATTGAGAATTTTTTTAATGTAAATTGCCAAAAAGGTTTGCGTTGCAGGTCACCAACAGTGACCTTTGAATTTTAATATCACCATTCCCCTCCAGCTAAATCTGCATTTTTAGTGTTCAGACGTAACAGCAAGCTATTGAACAACCAATATATTTTTATAGTGCTTCAAACACTCGAAAAATGTCTACGTCTCTCCTCATACTAAGCATTGTGTTAACGCTTTGAGATAAAGCGATGCCCGTGATAACTGACATGAAAGCTACTAGCGACGTCAAATACGTAGTATACAAAAACGATATATAAAAACGTCAATTAATCAACGTATTGATTAATGAACAGACAGACAATATCATGATACGGCCTTGCGCAGAATCGATTCGCGATAAATTAACACTTGTATTTATGTATGTATATGTATAATCTCTTATTTATATGCAACACATTTTTTAAAGATAATTATCTTGTTTTGTCGTATATACATATAATAAATATTAACTACTCACGCACGTCGATGGCGTGCGCTTGCGCATCTCACTTTCGTTTCAAATACATTTTTTATTGTATCCGTAACACGACATGTGCTGATATTTTAAAATAATTTAATACAAATTAATATATAAATAAGTAACATATATAAATTACACATCTTGCTACGCAAATCACTAGGTACCGTGAGAATTTAGTCTGTTTTGAGTTTTTCTAAATTACCTTTTATTTGGTTACAACGAAATCATGCAGAATAGAGTGTATTGTACTTACAACTTAAGTATCAGTTCATAGATATGAGGGTTATTTGCTTTCTGTTTTATAAAGTGTTAACATGTGTGTCTGTGATAAAACACATTCTGATGAAGAAACATTATTTTTATTCTTTATTATAAGTAATCTGTGTTGACATAAACTAATGAACGGACGATAGATAACACTAGGTGTACTGCGGGCTCACAAACGTTTATGTTTATGACAAAAAATTGATTATTTGTATTCTGATTCAGCACTCGAACATTGTCTAAAATGAACTAGTTTACTAGTCTAACGCTGGTATCATCACAGCTTCTTACCAAAAAGGATGGTGAGAAGGACTGATCATACCGATGTGGAGGCTCGTACGTGTCTTACCAGCTTTGGTCAATCGCTCGACTTGGCAGCAGATCGTCTTCAAGTAATAAGAGTTGGGGTTGTAAGTTCTGCGTCATCCGCTGAAGTCATCAGACCTACCGTTCTAATTTTTCCAGCATTTGCACTACTCCTCGGCAAAAATTTTATACCGGAAAGCCAGTATAAAATGTTTTTGAAGAATTTGTGGTCCTGTTCAGCTAATTTTTACAAGATGGGTTAATAAACTAAAATTTATTAAGCAAAAACGCTTCGATTGTATGGGTGAAAGTGATTGATTTGATTAATAGAAATAAAAAAACAACACTATTAACTTATGAAAAACGTTAAATTCGTAGGTAAAGCCAGAGAGCAACACCGTGGTTCGCAAGCATTAATGCAAAAAAGATACAATGCACACAGGTTTGAATCCTATCGAGTTTCTATAGCCCTGTTGTATATAACCATATTTTCCAAATAGTTTAATGTTTGCTAGGTCTATACACTCATGTAGTTACAGGAAGACGCTCATAAACAGAAGCCGATGTTGAGTTACGCCCACGATAAACAGGCTGGATATAACACTGTCATTTATGGAGTACACCGTGTTCCTGTTTTATCTATATCTTAACTGCACTTTTGCATTGTATAACATTTTTTGGGTCTTTTGTCTGACAAGAAGAATAAAAACCTGTTGTATATAACCATATTTTCCAAATAGTTTAATGTTTGCTAGGTCTATACACTCATGTAGTTACAGGAAGACGCTCATAAACAGAAGCCGATGTTGAGTTACGCCCACGATAAACAGGCTGGATATAACACTGTCATTTATGGAGTACACCGTGTTCCTGTTTTATCTATATCTTAACTGCACTTTTGCATTGTATAACATTTTTTGGGTCTTTTGTCTGACAAGAAGAATAAAAACCAGCCAAGCGCGATTCGGACTGTGAACGAAGAGTTCCATAACATTATCCATTAAAATATTTAAAAAAAAACACCTCGAAAACTTCGAACAACTTCATAGAAAACAACAATTCTATGAAGTTGTTCGAAGTTTTCGAGTTAAGTACAATTGGTGAACTATTACTCGTAAACTTGTAAAGCCAACTTAGTTGTGATAGTTTTTCTTTTAACTTCGTTATATATGTATATGTAGGTATTACTGCCGTTTGAATTATTAAGAACGGTCGTTTAGTCGGCAGAGGGGGGGGGACATACTTGACCTTAACGAAAATTAACTCTTTAAAGCTTAATAAGTCAAACGATTTACTAAATCGAAAATCGGCCTTCACATATCCCAATATTTTGAAAGACCTATCTATAAGGAAAAAAAAATAGTTTACATGTAGGGGTAGTAGATATAAAAAAAATCGCAATTTCACTTTACCTCTTACCTCGCAATTCAACTTTCTAGTACTAATAGTTGTTGAGCTAAACCGCGCACGGATAGCCAGAGTGACATGGCGAAACTATATAGGTTCCTTTTTACTACGGAACCCTAATAAAATAAATAAATATAAGATAAGATCACATTCATTGCTTAGATTCCAATTATGGAGTATCTGAGACAACAACGGAGTGGGCTCCGATATTTGTATAAACCATTATTATTATTAAACGAGTAGGTATTGGTTTGCTTAGAATATATCTAACAAAACCTATTAACTCCCACATTCTAGTCCATAGAATGATTTACTCGAAAAGATCTTTAGAATACAGAATGTTTAGAAATAAATCGCTATTGACATGAACGGAATTAGTCTTCTTAAAACTCTAAAGTACAGTTGACGACAGGTCACTAAGAAGATGCCAATCGACAAAATTGAATTAATAATTTGCTGTTAATTTCAAACGCTTGAAAACCAGAGCAGAGCAATCACTTATCGCAGAATGAGATACCTACCTATTGCAGTCATGTTACATATATGTAATGAATACAAACATACAGATTAGATATGTGTAGAGAGGTGGTTTACACTGGCGGCTTTATCAGCGACCTTGTAAGTGGAAAACAAAACACTGGGGTGTTGTAGTAATCAGTACTAGCGGACTGTCTAATTGTGTGAGATGTAATTATTTAACTTTATAACGTTCAGTTGCCATGGGTTCATCCATAATGAACGCTAGGTTTTATTCGATTTGAGTTTTGTAAACAAATTTATTCTAACGAGCTAATCTATACTCTGTTCCTAGGGCAGAGACAGAACGGACGACAAATGACCCTTCAGGTATTTTGTGAGCGTTAAAAGTAAGCGATACGTATCACTGTCCATAGAAACCTGTGTCGTTTTCGCAGAGTTCTGCCTATTGATGTGCGGGATGGGGTCAGTGACCCATAGCATCCCTTGCAACAAATCGCAGTTATCCATAGAAACGACGCAGAATTCTTATCTTTTTTTTTCGTAAGAATTCTTATATTATTTATTAATGAAAAGATATCGCTCACAATACCAATACTTAAGGTCATTGTTCGTATCTGTGCCTTCCCCAGGAACAAATTCAGTTGCTTGCTCTTGTCTATTTATTTATTTAGTGTCGGCGAGTGTTGTATATCTATTCTTGATACTTATGTACTTCTTGATCAGTCGCCATCTCAGAATCCAATTCTTTCTTACCTTTTTTATGTCGTAAGTTGTTTTCGTTATGACAGGGACTAGACAATTTTTTTTAAGGATGTTCTCCTACTACTAGCCTTCCTAAATACCTTTTGTAAGAATACACTAACATTGATATTTTGTTTAAAACTTATTGTCACTAATTTTAGTGTACGTTATGTATGTGCCAGATTTAGCTGGTTTACTTATACACTTAATTCAGTGGATAAGTATTAAGTTGATTTTTAACTTAATTTTAAGTGGTTAAGTGCGTGTAAACATACAAATAAGTAATATTATTAAGCTCACGAGTAGTAAAATAAAATTTTTACTTATTACTCATTTACGTGTACGTACTATAAGAAACAAGTTAAAACTTAATCACTCAAAATTAATATAAAATTGTTCTTACTACTTAATCACGTGTAAACCAGCCACTAGCAGTGATAAGGGACAGTGGTACGGATATAGAACATTAAAATATTCGCAAGAAGGGCGATGTACCTGCCAATAACACCCACCAGCAAAAAATCTGTTACTCCGCGATCTCCGCTTGCGACGGCGCCGCGGTATACGGGAACTCGAAATATAGGGTACACGACATGGTGGGAATCCCGTTTTAAAGAATCGTACCAACACTGATATTGATAGTTCGTTCTGAACTTCAGGCCTATTTGTAATACATAAATATTTAATAAAACAAGATTTCAATAGCGATAGATGAAATTCACCTTATAGGCGTGTCCTACAACAGCCTCCATATAGACTCGATTCACAACAAAAATCTGCCTGTTATAATGCTGTCAAAGTATAAAATAGATTGCCCGATGATATTAAATCACTGTCTGATACTCGGCTTTATAAAAAAAAGTTAAGAGTTTATTCTATTAGTACTTATAAACTCGATGAATTTTGAATTTATCCAAGTCTTTTGTGGAATTGTTAAAATGATAATTAAATGAAATTTATTGCATGTGGATATTATGAAATTTATTATATATATTTAATCAATAATTTAAGTATTTAATAAGTAGATTTTGACATATTATGCTATGCCTTACTGACAAAATTGTTTAGGTGCTCTAACATGAATTGTCCAATGTAACTAACAATTTATGGCAAAATAAAAAAAAAAAACAAATGTTTTCTTCCTTCAGAACTGCACGCGGCGGCAAAGGAAACTGTTACTCTCGCGGAACAGCGGTTCGTAAGCAAGCAGGATGAATGGCAGTTCGACAGCAACTGGCAAGAGGTCCTCAACCATGCCATCATCAAGGTAATCTGAAAAGGATCGACAACATCAACGGATTTTAAATCTTTATAGTACCTATGATCGAATGCACTGTAGAAATTTTGTATTATATGCAACTGTATACAAGAAGTGTATAGTGAGAATTATAGCTTCGTTCGTTTAATTGTCAATAGATGGTCCTAGTGTTTGATTTTGTTTATTTTTCAATGAAAATATGTTTTTAATATCGTATACGTCCTTATAATAATGATATTTTTTTCACTTATCATTTATCACGTATCTGCCGTATTAATTATACGGGGCCGCCAAAATGCGCAAGCAAAAATTTATAAAAACTACCCAAATATGACGAAAATCAATTTATTTTTTCGCATGTAAAGCGAGCATTTGCAAGCTGGCAACAATATACATCAGTTTTTGCAGGCTGCGGGATTCCTGCGTTTAAGTCATTTTAATTCACACGGTTTATACAAAACTTTAATAAGCATAAAAGTTTGTTTTCTGTAATAGTATATTAAAACTATTTATATTCGTTTACTGTCCACACCCGTATTGTTATTAGCGGTAAACATGTAGTTATAAAAGTTTACACCCATAATAAAAAACTAATCGAAAACTCCATCTATTGAGTCAAAACGAATGAACGCAAAACCTAGAATCAAGAAATGTTTTATTGCCTAAAAAGGATAGGGCACTAAGAATAATGAAAAATACGAAATAAGGTTTCTTAGACTTCAAAAAATTGTTACTAAGATGTTACAAAATTAATAAATGTTTGATAATTTAAAATTTGTTATAGCTAATACCCGGCTTCGGAATTAAGAATTTAAAGTTTAGCACGTCTCAAACTGTGATCCATTAATGTCAGTTTTATAAAACTAGGACTCCTTGCCTTATAAAATGTAAGAAACTTAAGTTATTGAGAATAATCAGTTGAGATTTTGTACTTTTGTCAATACAGAAACCGACTGTAAGTTTGTTAACATAATGATTGTCTTAGGTCATGGACGCAGAAAAAAGAAAGGCAGAAAGTGGACGAGAACATCAGAAAAAAGCGGCAGCGTACATCGCTGCAGAAAAAAAGGTAAGTACACATATAAATTCTGTAACTAAAACGTCATCTTGCGATATTCTTAATTTAGGAGTCGTCTATTAACTGCGAGTAGCTCGGTGGCGTAGTGGATAAGCGCCGCGGCCCGCGATCATTGTCGTTAAGCAACTTTCGCAGGGATCGGTCACGGGATGGGTGACCAAATAATTATTATCTCGGGCTACTCCGTGCTTCGGAAGGCACGTGAAGCCGTTGGTCCCGGCTGCATTTTGCAGTCGTTAATACCCTCCAATCCGCATTGGGCCAGCGTGGGGGGTCATGGCCCATCCTCTTTAACCATCCACAAGGAAGGCCTGAGCCCCTGCAGTGGGGACGTATAAGAGCTGGTCATGGTCTATTAACTGCATGAAGTATGCTCCTAATCGGATAAAAGCACTATGGACAACTTGTATAATATAATATTACAACTTTTAAACCTTCAAATTTGGTATTGCATTTTACAATACAATATACTCAAAATATTTGTCTTTTATAATAATAAAATATACATGAGATGGTTCTTATAGTATCCAAAATGCTTACTGAAGAATAATAGAATGATTGAGAGGAAATTTGACTTAAAAAATTCATGCGAATAAATAAAATAGATAATAGACGGCACCGTATTTTAAGGACACCTAATCACACCCACTTTTACCCAACAGGTGACTCAATTAGAGGATAACCTCAAACGTAACATAGTAAAATCTCGTCTATACTTCGAGGAGAAGAAACTTTGCGACGAACAGCTTCAGACGCAAAACGAGAAAATAGAGAAATTACAACATCTTATAGCTGACGCTAAGCACCGTTATTCGAAATCTCTTAAGGCTCTCGAGGAGATATCGGAAGAGATCCATCGTCGAAGAGGCGAATACCCGCCAGGGAAGGACGCTATACCTGTAGGACCTCGAGAGCCAGGAGTTGGGGCTGAACGCGACCCGGTTCATGATGAGAACGATGCTAAATTAGCAGAACACGATGACGAGTGTAGTCTCCAAGAATTGAGGATGCGCGTGCGGGAATTAGCTCTGAAGCCGATAGACAGGAAAGATGTGGAAACCGACGAGGCATGGGCGTTGGAACTGAATGAAACCATAAACAAATTGGATCAATTATTGATGATGAAGGAGAACAATCAACAGAAGAGATCTAAATTCACAGACAACTCTCCGAAGAACTTGAGTGCACCAACGACTAGCACTAATACAGGGAGACACACGCCACCCCCTCATGATATTCGGAAGACAGAATCAAACTTCAACAAAACAAAATCGATAAGTAGGGAAGCTTTATTCGATACTACAAATCCTCCCATTGCTAAGACTGAGAAATCTAAGAGCATGATGTCATTAGACGTTTTGGCTCTGGCAAGGGACACAGCTATTATGGACAGGGAGTCTTATTTGAAAGCTGTCATCGAAGACAAATCGCCGACTGGCACGTATACCGAGAGTAATTCGGATAGGAACGATAGCCCTGATGAGATACTGATGGTCGAATGCGATTCCAGTGATTCCACTCAGAATCCAGTCATCAGAATGACCAGCTCCACTATAACTGATAGCGATAACAGTTAAATTGTTAGTGAACGTATCAATTGTACAGTTACCATACGTCGAATTGCGAGATAGGGGCCATCCATAAATTACGTCACACGTTAGGAGGGGGGGGGGGGGGTCGCCGAACTGTGACATTAGAACAATGTTTAGTAGAATTTGTTCAGTTAAAAATCATGAATTTTGTGTGACGTAATTTATGGACGGCCCCATATAAGATTATTGTGACTTTGTTTATTTTAGTCTAATTTTAACTCGAAAATAACATATCAAGCGAGGGCGTTTCGCTTATGGTAACTGTATTTTTGATTGTATTATAATAAATTTCACTTTTCTACGTGTTAGATTCTATTTATACATAAGATGATATTTTTAAAAAACGTTAAGCTCACCTTTATATCGATGTTAGTTAACTCAAAAAATTGTATGTGTTTCACACAATGACTTTTGAACATACAGGGACAAAAGACGTCACAGGACGGAATAGCTCAAATATGCCAACTGCCTTTACTAACATACACTGGCGCTCTTTATAACCCCCAACATCTACTAAGTATTCAATAGGGAAATTCTATTTAGTTCGTCAGCGAAATAATAAAAAAATATTAGATACTTTTTTTTATTGTAACAAGAAATTACTTAGATAATAGACATTAAAGTTGGGGAGTGGAGGCTCGCAATGTCACATCTATGTAGGAAATGTACAAAGATGTGACGTCATACGACTTTTCAACTCAACGTATTGCTGTAATTTATTGATTACACAGAAAAAAAACGTGTTTAGTATTCTTTAATCCGTCTCGACGGACAGACAAACAACGCCACATCCCTATTCTTCAAAAGTGATGTGGCGATTTATTTTCTACCGAATAATCGATAGTATCGAATGGTTTATCACTACAGAATATTGAAGAATGTCTAAAGTTTTGTAAAACAATAGTTCTATTAATTGATTTAGAAAAACCATCGCCCACAGTACGTCGTAAAGCGTTCAATACCGACATAGAAATGTCGCTAAAGATATTTTGCTGTTAATAAGTAAAACTTTAATGTAATTATATCGACTCAATTTATATAGCAAGCGTAGGCGCAAAAATATAAGAAGTATAATTAAATTAATTGTGATATGTACATCAAGATCTCATTAAAATGTCATAAACCTAATACCTTTTGTTACAAATGACCATCTTAGGCTTCAGCCTAATGGTAATTCTGCCTCTGTCCAGAAATCTATATTTGTTATACGTAATTGATTATATTGACCAAGGAAGAAAACGCATCCTATTTATTGGTAATAATTCGTCAATCAAAATGGCGTCGATGCCATGTCCTTGTGTGTTAAAAAGTCATTGTTTCCACACTAGTAATGTTCTTTATAATTCACACATTTAAAAAGGCCATATCGCTCCACCGACGAACTTCTTTGTTATTTTTCAAACTATAAAGGTATTTTTTAATTATAATTTCAAAGTTAATATTAAACGAGTAGAATATTATATTAAAACACATGCATTTTTGTTTTGTCATACATTTTATTATTTAAGTAAAGCTGACGCCTCACTGCGTTTTTAACGCAAACGGTTTATATCAGCGGTAAACTTGCGTACAGTCGCAGTGCGGTGTGAGCCTAAGTATTAATTTTCTTGTGGTTGTGTTGTTTTATAAAATATTCACCAAAAAAAGTATTAAAACACTCGACAAGGTAGTCACGTCATGCAATTTTGGGACACAATTCTAATAGGAATAAAGTATATATTTCATCTATTTATATTATAGCTGTATTATTTTTTTCAAAGTTGCCATTTATGCAATCAAATTGTGAAAATATTCTCGAAATTTATGTTTATGCGATGATCTCATCGACACGTGATTCTGCAATCAATTTTAAAGATATATAAAAACTATTATTTTAAAATGAATAAGGTTCACATAGTTTAATTTTGCACGCATGTTTAGGGCGTGAATATAGGAAGCAAATGTTAGAAACACTTTTTGATATAGATGTAAAAATTTTGAATGAATTTTATTTCTGTAAGCATCATAAATCTTACACAGGAGGCAAAAGACAAAATTTTTCATGATGATGCAAGTAGTTACATTATACATGTATTTTTACTACTGTATGCGGTAAAAAGTAAATAACCGGCCTCAATCACTAAGTACTTCTACTCTAATCCCTTTAATATCTACGTCAGTTGAATTTTAAAATTGTCTGCTCAAAACATAAACCGTCTTACTATAAAAGGAGGACTTGCTTAAAGCAAATTGAGAATGACAGAAGAGAAACTTCAAAGACGTGTTGACTTATTTTGGTCGGATTATGGTTTAAATCTGGTTCTAATAATAGTCCCCGTTTTATAAAAATACCGAAAGATATCTGACTGGTTATCATACTCTTTTATGTAAAATGATCAAGCGTAAGGTTCATTTTACGGTGGCGCAAAGTCAATACCGAAGCGCCATTCTAGCTGATATTTTTATCTTTGGTAGTAACGTGCCTTTATTTCTTATGATGTTTTAACCTATGGAAATTGTAAATTGAAGACTGCAAATACACGGTTAGTACTTATCGAAGGTTGTAATTTTAGGGTATGCAATACAGCTTAAAAGATGGAACATCACGTTTTCATTTTGACTGTGACGAGATGGCGCTTTTGCAATAATATTTTGTATTAATAATGTTCCATATATTTCGTTAGTCGTAATTTTTTTAACCCTTACATATTAATGTGTTTTAAAACTTAATATGTAAGTTAATTAATTAAAAGTCGAATCTTATCAATTTTTTTTAGTATAAGTAACTAAATATATTGACAAAATGTGGTCAAACGCGAGAAAAGAACTCTATTGTGGTCATATAAATATCAAATTCCAATACATACGTCGTTGTGTATTTTAAAGTACTGATCGACATTTGTTATACGTTTAGAAAAGAAGATACACTTTTACCGTAACGTTGTTGAGTTGTATGATGCATTTAATTTAGATATCTTACATAATATAAATTCAATAGATTCTAGTATTATTTTTACATCATTTCTATAGTTCTAATTTTGTTTTTTAAACCGCCCATTGGCACCTCCCTCAGTCCACATAGACTTATTATTACTTTAAATAATACGACTGTGGGGGTGACCAATTATTTTTGAATTATCAGATAATTTAATATAGATGTTAAGTCGATAAAATTTTTTATATTGGTGAATTTGTTCTATTAATGAAATCGTGCAAACAATCATATTATTTACTTCCCCTTTAACGAAAACAATATATATGATACTAACATATTTTATAATAAAATACTAACTTGGTGCTATTGAAACGCCATATCGCACCCCCGCCCGGCGCGACACTGTCACTTTTGCAAAAAATACAAAAATTAATTAAATATGTAATAATTGTCCTAAAGCTCCCTTTACTTGGTGCGATAATGTTACTTTTGTAGTAATGTACTCATATGTATCTTCTAAAGTCATTGTTTTGTGAGGTGGCAGAGTTTAAAACTCTTCTCCTGAAAAACTAAATTTTTGCATAAGTGACAGTGTCGCACCGGGAGTGATATTTTATTATTTCACCACACACAAAAAATATAATTTGTAAAAATTATACTTATCGTATATCAATAAGTACATGGCACTCTTCACGACTTTGTCAATGATTAACGATAAGTATTAATTTGTTTAATGAACTTAAAATGCCTACCTAATATATGTTTTACATTAAGCGAAACAGTCCTGTCGAATTTTCACATTCACTGTGGTCTAAATGTACCTAATCAATAAATGTTTTTGAAACTAAACTTTGTTTATTTAAAAACTTTCTTTTTTATTGTTTTTAATTACCTAGCGCCAACGTTCATAAAAAGTAGTTTTAACTATCAGCGCACCGTGCTCGAATAACAAAACTTGTTTTTATATTATAAAGGCAGCATCTCCACGTCCAGAACAGCGCTGTCACAGCGTAGTTCAATAAAATAAAACCTTTATTACCTTATGATGTTGGTTGAAAAATAATAATAAAATGCTTCAAAACGATAACCCGTTTATTTTCTGAAAGGTCAATGTTGAATCGTTAGACAACATTTACACAGTAGTAACAGCACACATATATAAAGTATATTCATTTTTCTATACAAATATACACAATTTCGAAGGAAGGCACTTCTAGGGAATAAGAGAATATGATTATACACATAATTATTTATATTTAAGAATAATATTTTAAAATTATATCAAAATAATTAACCAAAAATAGTTCGATTATAATATGTGCCTGTATATATTTCACTGAAATTGTATCTTATCATTAATATTAAATAGACATTGTCTAATATAAATACTACAACAAAATCCAGTAGAAAATATAACATATTCGGTGTAAGAAGGAATGACTTAATTAGTAACTTTAGTAATAATACTAGTTAAAAACACACATTAAAATGATACATATAAAAAACAAAATATCATGTATGAATTCAACATTTTGTATAAAAATCCATGGACCTCGATTTCACTAAAGTTAACTTAATTATGATAAAGTTTCAACATTTTCGTATTAATAACTAGCTTTCGCCCGCGTGGACCCTAGGGAAATGTTTAGTAGGATAAAAAGTATCCTATTATCTAAGTCAGCTAATACCCTATCTGTATACCGAATATCATCAAAATCCGTTCAGTAGTTTCGGCGTGATTGACCGACAAACATCCAAGCATCTAAACATCCAAACAAAGAAACTTTCACATTTAAAATATTAATAGAATATATATGAGAGGTACGGCAATGATTACTTGACGAATGTACATTCGTTACTACACAGGTTGAGTGATTTATACTTTCCCTCCATGTACATAAATTAATTGAAACAGTATCATAACGTTAATAATAGATTGAGGTCCAGCTCTGGTCGCTTTAGATGGTGTTTTTTTTATTCAATACAAAGCAAAAAATAGGTGAAATAGTTAAAAACAACAAATAAACTTATTAACCAAGTAATTAATGTAAATTTTCTATCAGCATATAATTTATTTTGAAGCTAGCTTCTAAGTTTATTAAAAATCAAAAGTATCGCAATATTTTCTGTGGATAGAGTGCTGGCGATAGTTAATATTTATTATAATAAATGTTTGTTGATAAAAAATATTAATTTGTTATTTACATTGACTTTATTTAAAAAAAATGGCACCTGTTTATAATTTACATGAGTTACATAATTTTAAAATGCTATTAAACGCGTAAATATTTGAGCGTTACATTTAAAAAGTATTACCGACATTAATTTTGTTATTATGTGTACCTATATTTAAAAAAATTCTTTAAATTGAAAGTAATTAAGATTTTGTTTATATACTGTGACAATTTTGAATTATAAAATAATATTTTCGTTATATATTTAACGGAACATATTTAAAATCTAACCAAAACACACCTAAAATGATATGGTAAACATACCCAAAGTCCAAAGACATCTTGCTAAAATCCGACCCCCTCAATATTATTTTCTGATATTTTTGAGATTCCGTAAAAAAAATTTTTTTTTGTATTAAATGCAGATGACTGATATTTTAGAGAATTTTTAATTCAAACATAAGAATAGGCACTAAACGCGCATCTTAAATTAAAGGACAGTGCGCATAATTTGGTTAGGATGATGTTATTTCAGATGCAACCCTAAATTTAGGGCGTCACTTAAATCAGATATCAGAAAAAAATATTTTTCATTCACCAACCCTATCGGACGTAGACAAACAAAAAACTCTACCGCAGTCATAGTATCCGTCAGTAACAAAGATTTAAAAGAGATTATTAAATATGTATAATTAAAATAACATCAAAAATACTTAAATGTATATTATGCATTATTTACCTTAAAAAATGCACATTTGAACATAAACAGGGCAGTTATGTAGGCAACAAACAATGTCAAACGTTTTAAGTCAAAGGAAAATCAGCCTTAGTCCCTAATAGGCTGAAATTCAAAAATTGTTTTGTTACAAATATAAAGTGTGCTGTACAATAAAGACACGAACGTGGAAAATGCCGATAGCATATTTTAACCAGTTTGAGTATTAACAAAAAAGGGATGCTATAATTGTGTATACAAATATACATTAATAACGACTCGTAAGAATAATTGGGCTACTTAACTGATTCCCAATCTGAGATTAAGTGTACTAAATGCTTCTGTTATATGTTAAGAGGTCCTTGTATGTAGCATAACTAACAAGGTTAATATTCTATCTACTGGTAAAGAAAACCACAATACAATCATATTGTATAATAAAGAAGTTATGTCGTATTTTGTAATCGGATAATATAATCAACAGCGATCGGAGTGAGTAAATTGGTTTTTGGCATTTGTATCGTGAAAAACTCATAGAAAGAATAACATGGATAAGACATTTTTCTTAGTATTTGTGGATTCAATTATATATTGTTCATTTTAGTAGTGCTATATTCAAAATCAATCTGAATGTATGAAAACTATTTAAATTTATTTACCGTAATTAATATTTAAACAATTAACTATGTAATCCAATTTTATGAAGAAAAATAATAATATAATTTATCAATCAATTTCGGGGGATGTCCATTTTAATGTAAATGTTTCAGATCAATGACCCCAATTTAATCTCCGATCACTGATAATGCAATAAAAACACATTGCGACTTAAAGCAAGCGGTGAGAGTATTAGCTGAAAACGCAAAACTTCATACAAAAAATGATCGCAGCTCGTGTTTTCAATCTGCTAATGTAACACTTGCGGTTTCACACTTGCGTTTAGTCACAGTGCAGTCTCACTGGGAATTTAACTGGGAACATCGCGTTTATCCATATTATACTTAATGAATTAATGCAAAATGCTTAAAAATTTAATAAAAAATATAATAACACGTCCATATTAATTTACAAGTGTAAGTTTTGCTATAAAACAATATTAAAAACGCCATGTCCTTATAAAGAATAAAACTATTTTGATTAATGAACTACGTGAAATCGTCAAATTAGAATATTTACGACATCCCAGGTCAAAATAAACATTGAAGCATAACAAAAAATATTCCAAGTCACCCTAATAAGGGGTCTCAATTTTCGTGACGTTAGATATATTTTTATGTCAACTGAGTTAAATATTTTGGTCTCTACTCTTTATAGCACAACACAAAAGGCAATAAGAAAATGTTAACATTAAATACTTTATATCCGTCAGATAATTAAATGTAGTAACAATATGTTGCTCATTCGCTCTCTCTGTCACACTTTTGGTCCTCATAATACTTAGTAAAAGCGTCAAAACTTAAGGATTCGTTACTATAAAGTTCCTTACATAATTTCCCATTGAGTCTTGCGTGTAACAGGGAACGCCAGGTCCCGCTATGCTATTCTGTTAAAAAAAATAGCGTCTGACACAGAGCTGTGACATAAAAGAGCTCCAATGAAATAAGTACTTTATTACCTTTCGAAGAAGGTTTTATTTGATTGATTGAAATAGATGCTGTTTTCATAACAGAATTGCACCGCTGTTCCTACATATTATTATCGGAGTTAAACATTTTAAAGTAATAGCAATAAAATATCGTTTTGAGAGTACGAATGCATCAAACGTTAGAAATGAGTTTAGTTAGAGCTTACGCGACATGAAAAATTGTGCACTGCTAAGAATTATATAACCGGGACTAAATAAATTTCTGGAGAAGTATAATATAATTAAACCTTATGTAGGAATTTCTTTATACATTTTTGGTTCAACAATACACACACAGTGAACATTTTCACAAACAATAGTCTATCAATACTAAGAGAGAACAGCTAGTAGTAACATTATTAACATTTCATTAAAAAATTTTAAACAATCGACGCAGAAGGCTTGCCATAAAACAGATATAAATATTAACTAAATTTAGATTAGGGGTTGCAATCCTTATAAAACGGAATCCCGCGGAAATTATGAGTGCCCCGTCATTGACTGACCGCTGGGTCATATGAGTGAAATCCCTAATTTAGATACTAAATTATACTATTGTATATTAAATTCAATCTGTTTCTTAATGAAATACTATTGATAATATATTATCCTCTTTGTAGTATATAGATTAGATGTAACACTTAGAACTATATATTTCTGATTTTATTGTTTTAACTATATATTGTTACAATATAAAATAATAATCTATCACATGTATGCTATATACGCTTTACCTTCATGAGCTCCTAGTAAGGTACAATAGTAATACAGATGCCTGTGAACAGGAGTTTAATTATTGACAAGCCTTATTTAAAGCGTAGTAGAGTTTACATTGGAGTATAGCCTATCTCTATAGTTTGGCCGGTGTTCTACTAATGGCGTCTCTCCACCACGTTGCGCGTCCGAACGTGTCCGGATTACTGAATATCGCCGTTTGTAGATTCTGATACAACTATAAACAAAAAAAAATGTGTCATTTCAAACCGATTAATTGCTTAGTTTGATTAAATACTTTAAATTAATGTCAATAATAATAATTATTTTAAGAATTGCTCATATTAAATGTCGGATGAGCAAATCTTGAAATAACTTAAAACATTATCTCTCTGAACATGTTTAATACTGTAAGATCTTTCGTTGTCAATCTTGGGCAATGTTGGATTTTTTGTAATAACACTTTGTCAAATTAAAAGGGACGATAACTGGGTAAAAAAAATATTTTTTACATATATTTTTTAGTCCGTCAGTCATATAATAGAAAACAATAAAAAGAATTAACAAGAAATGGCTGTTATTAGGCATTAAAGTTGAGGAGTGGGAGCTCCTACGTAACAGATATGTAGAAAATGTACAAATGCGTGACGTCATGCGACATTGCAGCTCATTGTATCGCCGTAATTTAATTATATAATTTATGGATATGGATTCCTTATATGGATTGATTAGGCAAAAAAAATAATGTTATTTAATATTCTTATCGCATATGATGTAGCTTCCCGTAGGTGAAAGACTTTCTAAGATCGGTCCAAACAAACAAACAAATCTTTGCTCTTTATAATATTAGTATACATAATTGATACTTACATTACCGTCGCTCTTCCCGAGCACCGAGTTCAAAACGAAATCTGTCGGCGCGAGCGCATCCACGACACTGACCATCTCGCCCTTTAGTTCCCCGCACAACTCCAGCACAGCGTCCCGCAGTAACTTTGCCAGTCCATCACCCACCCCGTACCCCCCCTGGTACAATTCCACCAAATGTTTATCCAGAGACCACAGCCCGTACAGGTAGAACAGTTTGTACAACACCGGCTGCAGTTCCTTCTCTTTCTTCGCTATAGATTGGACAGAGAACACGATAGCCAAGTACTCCGCGTACACCCTAGTGAGTGTCTTCCACCTGTACACTTGCGATTTGATCTTCGCTTGGAACTTTGATAGGCCTTTAGCCATTTCCTTTTCGTATTTTTCATGAGTCTGTTTTAAAAGCCAGCATATTAGCCATTTGTAAGTGTCCGTTATGACTGTAAATAAATAGGTATCGGTCAGACATTTGAAGAAAAATATCATCGACTGCAAGTGTATAATTAATATATACAGGTCAAGTTGCCAATCAGTACATTTTTTTTTTACTAAACTTACATTGAGCAGTCTTGAGATGACTAGTTTCCTTACACGTGAACACGTCTTTCGATATGGTAGCGTAGTCTTTCAGGAAAGTGATTGTCCCGAGCGGGGAGTCTATCTCGTTGCCCATCACTGCCGCCTCGTACTGTCTCAGTAGCCAGTTGCCTGCCTGCTGAGACAGCACGTTATTGTCTCCCTCATACGTCACTGTAGGCTCGTGGTTACTACGTATGTCGCCGAGGCGTGCACACTGTGTATGAAAAAAATGGAACCGACTTAAGATTTAAAAAAGTGTAAAATAATACTTATCTTATAAGCGGTTAAATTTTTTAAGAAACATTAAATTCGGGATGAGGTTTTCTGTAGTTAATTAAATATTAACCCCCGACTCCTCCTTTTTGAAGTCGGTTAAAAATAAACAATTACTACAAGGCAATATCATCACCAACCTATTGACTAGCTGTTAGAACACAGGCCTTCCCTCTATGGATAGAATCAAAGGGGGAGAACGAGCCTTACGCTTATAACTCATTGGCCCAGTTTGGATTGGTGGGTGTCAACAACTGCGCAGCCTCTATTTATTACATAGTTACTTCCGAGCACATTTCGTACTCGTAGTTGATAGTGCGGTACTGTTTGCAATACGGAAGCTAAGCAACTTTCTGACCGGCAACATCTGCAGTCGTCGACGACAATATACTATAGGCCCACTTTGTTATCATGTTATGGGCATGGCCCGTTCTCCTTAATCAATTCCATCCATAGAGAACGCCTGCACCCAAAGTGAGGACGTCAATATACTGGTGACGACGATGTGCCATCTGAATAATTAAGGAGCTGAACATAATAAATTGTTGGTCATCCATCCTATGACCTGCCATATCGCTGATTGAATGATTAAGACTCGATCTGAGCAAAATGTAATACAACCTACATTACTCAAATCCCTTGTTCTTGATACCTGAAAATACGAAGGTACCTCACCATCCAACACGCTGCGATTTCGACATCAAATAGGTTATATTAATAATAAATTTTATCATATTAAAAATAAACTGAAACATTATAAAGCAACAAAAAAAAGAATAAGAAATATTATGTCGGCCGTGTGCTGCAACAATGCGAAAGTATACGATTTGCCCACACTATGCATATTAAAAATAAATATACAGTACCATATCACCGAAACTGTATATAAACATATTTGATCTATTTATTTATTGAACTTCGGAAAAAAGGCGGACTTAATGTTAATAGCATTCACTCCCAGTCGACCTTTGGGAAATTTTACGAACGCGATAACGGTACAGAGCAATAAAAATATGTGAATAATGTAAATAAATTTTGAACTTTATAATTTGACACACAAAACACATTTGCTAACCACATTTTAGAAATTTAAATATGCTTATTCGTGTATCTACATATTACAAATTTGTAAATTTGTTCGCCAGCATCCTAACATGTATTCTAAAAAAGGAAATGTTTCTTGTCATAGACCACGCTATATAAATAACCTAACCTCCAAATACCTTCTAAGTTAACACAGTTCCGGAACTAATAAAATGTCAATTAAAAATTATAATAAAATACCTGAATACCTAAAGAACGAAACAACATATACTCGATTTATAAAAATGCTAAAGAATATACTACTAATTAAATACTATTATACAGTGAATGAATATTTCAATGAAGAGTTTTAGATAAAATGGAATGTCTGACCGCTTCTTTCCATCTTTCTATATTGCCATGCCTATCAAGGTGCATGTGAATATTATTAACTGAAATTTATGTATTTAGTTTCTAAGTCACATGTATGCAATGCAATAAATAAACATCCACTGGTATTCCTTGAATGGCAGCTACAATAACTTCCCGATTGGTGGTAGTTTTGTTTTCGCGGCAAAAATTAACATCGCTTTTATTTCGTGCCTCTGATTTTTGTTTGCCGAAACAAGGATCAATTTTGTGACTAAGCTTCTTGCAATACGAACATGGCTCGGATTTTTGTGACGTAAATACCGGCTTTGAATTCGAATTGTTGCTATTAGAGTTAGATTCCATATTCGTTTTAGTAGTTTGATTGTAAAAAGCCCGTCCGCGTCCCGAAAGACCACATGCAAAACATCCTCCCTCATACAGCCCACGCCTTCCCAAAACAACACTAGAAGCGGCCCCATCTCCATCAAGAGATTGCCGCGATGCAACCGCGCCACCACCAGCGTTTCTTGAGGCACCGGGCTCCACATAAATTGGGAAAAACTCAATCAAACCGCCCGCCTGCAACCCTTCGCAGCGGACGCTCGAACACGCGGACCAGCGATACCGCGCATTACAATTGCGGTACAAGTTCATCACTGAATCCCCATACCACGCGCAAGCGAAGCAAACAGCGTCGCGCACAGTCGGCGCTCGTGAGGCAATTATCAGAACCTGCCTGCACCACGTCACACAAAACGCCCGCAACACCAGGTGCTCCAAGACACATCGGCTTGAATTCCTTTTTAAAACCACTCCACGTACGTACGATCGGCCGTCACGCACTCATTTAACCATGTTCGAGCATCTCCCTTCAAATTTCCTATTCGAGAAAGACATTCGTAATCGTTCCAGTTGTTTAAGCTCTTAGCGCGATCGACTTCTTCACCCCAATCATCAATATAATGCAATTTAGGATCAAAATTAGAAATATAAAAATTTTGATTTGATCTCACCATATTGTTTATCAAACGAATCGCATCCACGATCCGATTCGTCACCGTTGTGGGCACGCTCACGTCCCTAGTAGCAGACTCCCTGCATCGTTTAGATGACCGACGAGTAGCACTTGATGGCTGATTTTCCAAAGCTTTAAGCCGTGCCGGCATTTCCTTCATTTTCTTCTTCATTCTGCCTTCAGAACTACTATCATCGCTATTATCATGGCGAGAATCTCGAGACGGCTTCGACTATGACGATAGTCACGTCCCGAAATTTTTGGTTTTCAGTTTTGATCAAAAATCTTATTTAGAACGGAAATGCAAGTAGATAGGATCGTAGATCCTATCCCACTTCTGATCTGAACTGTGACCCGAATTATTTTTCAAAAAGTGAAATATTTATACTAACGTAGCGATGTAATTTATTAAATTTGTAACTCAAAAAAAAAAGAAAAATCAATTAACAAAAATGCCGAAAGTGACAATGTTTCTCAAATGAATGCGAGCGCAAAAATGAGAGCGCTCGCGATGCGATGATGCCTTATATACCCTCAGTTGACAAAAATTTTCTTATCTGCTACAATATCTACACTAATATTATATAGAGAAAATCTTTGCTTTTTTGTAAAGAATAGGCTCATAAACTACTGGACCGATTTCAAAAATTCTTTCACCATTCGAAAGCTACATTATCCACGAGTAATACAAGCTATATTTTATTTTGGAAAAAAATAGGGTACCGTAAGATATTTGGGATTTTCGGACACAAGGCGAAAAAAATTATTTTGCGTACGCTGCCTAAACTATAAAAGATAGAACCATAAAATGTCCTAATTAATTGTAGATCTTATAAATATCTACAAAAAAGTCCGCGACACACTATACTTATCTACGTCGAGTAAGGCACAACAACCATATTTTTATTTAAAAATCTTGAAACATTTTTGGACTACATTTAAACGCGTTTATTTTACTCATGCTATTAATCCTTGTCAAAATCAAAATAATTTCATCACTAAGTACAGTTTATGTAGATAATATTTGGTCTTTGAATGATAAAAACTGGACGTTTGGTTTTGAAGTTATGGCGAAATTAAAATATTACGATTTCTGCTGCACGTCCCGTTGCGAAGTGGGCGTTACCAAGGCGTGTGCGGGAGGGTAATTTAGATCTATGAGTAAGGTAAGTAAGCCGCGCGGGTGGCTCAGACGCATCGGTCGTGCGCGAAGTCTAATAATGTGAGTGCGTTTTCTTAGATTTCGTTCTTAAAACTACAGCTGCGCAAAAGTCTAAAAGTTCTTCTCAGAGCTAATGTATAATAAATCAACACGCTGGCGGAAAGCTAGTAATATATAAAATGATTTGATTTGCCAGATTCGAGTTTGCATATTAAACAAATGAGTCTCTTCAGCTTGGTTCTAATGTTTCTGTAATGGTTTACGCAGGATGACAAGCAATCGACATTTCCTACGTTTTTTTTTTACATTCAAGTTATCACAGAGGTCATCCAAATTATAAATTCATACAAAATACACAATAGAAGAGTTATAAATAACTCTTTTGTTCAGACGTTTTTCAATACATCGACTTATTTAGAATTATGAAAGCATTGAAACTTATTCGTGAAATCTTACTGACTACAGGGATACAGCATATATGTGGATCCCGCACGACTCATTATGTCATTTCAGATTCATGATACCATATTTCAAATTTTCTTTCTTCTTACAATAGAATTCGTTTGACCCCAAACCATTAATCACGTGAGGCTCGAAACGGTGAGAGGGGGTTTGTCAAAAATCACGAAATATCACAAGGGAGGTGGGGGGTGTAGTCATATTTTTTCCTAACCGCGCGATTATTAAACCGAAAATAGACGTCATAAATTAAGATTATTGTTAATACTAAAAAATACACGTGATTTGGGTGGAAAGAGGGGGGTAGTCTTAAACCTGACCATATATCACCAAGGGGAAGGGGCGAGCCAAAAAATTTTGAAAAAACATCACGTGATTAATTGACGGCCCCTTGTATTGTCGATCAAAGGATTTGGTTTACGTTTAACATTTATTTTTATTAGATTAGGTTGTCTTAAATATTATAAGACAACCTAACCTAATAAAAGTTTCGTCTTAAATATTATACAGAGTTCGGCATTTTTCTAGATATGTGTAACCCCAAAAGTTGCTTGTTAAGTTTAGAAAAATGTCTGCATATACATTAAGGTCATTTCGCGATGAGACCCAGACACCGCAGCATGTAAGCACTAAGTCTAAATAGCAGAGTTCAAGGATGTCTGGTAGTAGTTTCACCACTCGATTTTAAACTTTAACGCATTGCAGGTAGAGTTCAAAATCAATTGAAGATATTTGACATACTAATATTACAAAGAGGACAAATTTCATTCTTTGTTCGCATCGAATAGGTTCCGAAATTACTAAATTCTTTCACCTACGGGAAGCTACATCATATGCGGTGAACATAGGCTAGATTTTATCCCGAAAAACAGCAAATGAAGGGATAAAATGGGAGTGGAAGTTTGTATGG